ATAGCGTAAAGTTTCTGTACCAATTTAAGCCTCATTTGGCCTCTTCACACTCACACACTTACAAAAACAGTTTTGTGAAGAACTATCCACTGAAAGGTTCTTTAGGGAACCAAAAGTAGTCCTTTTATGGAATTGCACTCTTTTTTTATCACCTTTACTGTTAAGAGCACAGTTTTACATTACTGCCATAGAGGAACCACTTTTGCTTCTAAGCATTGTTGTAAATGAGACATTTACATTAAATAATGTAAAGGTTTTAAACCAGGTTGGAGGTTCTTTAAACTTTTTCAACATTCTTCACACTCACATATCTCATTTACAGAAATGGTTCTCTAAAGAACTACCCATTGAAAGGTTCTTCAGGGAACCAAAAGTGGATTGTATGACACACTAACAATGTCCAATTAACTTTTTTTCCATTTCAGAGTTCCTGGAATTCATGAAGGGAGTGGAGTAAAGCACACAAATGTCCAGTTTTGGGAAAACTGAGAGCTATAAGCTGAGTTTACATGTGACTTATTTGAGATGCATTACTGTTTATTCTCACTGCTGACGTTTTACATGTTTTTCTTCATGTGTGATGTTTTCTATCCCACTGCTATATTACATAATAAAGGCCTTCAAATAAAACTGTATCATAGTTTTCTGATGTCAAGAGGTGAGCAGTAACTTGCAGGTACTTTAGTAAATTTTGACCAATTTGTACTTTCAAGTATTTTAAAATGATACTTTGTCTTCTACTGAAGTATGTCAGTGAGTAAAGTTCCATATTTATCTTTAACATTTAGTCCCTAATTCTCTTTTTTTGGGATTAATTTCATTCAGGCTCAGGAGGTTCAGCAGGTTCAGCTCCTGTTCTACTTACTCTTCTTTGAATTTTCCACCTTAAATAGTGTAGCTGTTACATTCTGGTGCTCCAGGCTTATTCAGCTTCGAATAAAAGCCAGTTTCAGCCTCGTAGTTTCTATGCTGGATGTTCTAAGATGTTCCACTGTAGTTGCAAGTGCATCTTAAAAAGGATGGCTCTTCAAGGGTTCTTTAGTAAAGGCAATGGTTCTTTCTTTTTAGAACACTTTCATGTTTATATGGATCTTTGCATGGTGAAATAGTCCTTCAGATTGATGGAGACGTTTGTGCACCCAACTTAAATCACAATGATACAAGTCTCTTAGAAACAGCCAATTAACCATGTGAGATATCATAGCAACCACCTAGCAACCTCTAGGCAACGACCTGGGATATGGTTGCAACGACCTAGCAACATCCTAGCACCTACCTGGAATACCATAGCAACCACCTAGCTACCATGTGGGATACCATAGCAACCCTACATTCTCAAAAAAGTTGTTTTTTCAAGGGTTCTTCAGTAAAGAAAATGGTTCTATATAAAACCATGAACATTGATCGTTCAAATGGCTCTTTGCATGGTTAAAAATCGTTCTTCAGATTGATGGACAATGTGTTGTATATAGTTCCATATAGAAACTTTCGGTTCTATATAGCATCAAAAAGGGTTCTTCTACTGGAATGATGTCAAGCTCATAACAATAGAAGAACCATCTTTGGTGCTATAAAGATGCTTAAAAAGATGGTTCTATTAAGGTTCTTTAGTAAAGAAAATGGTTCTATACAGAACGATTAACGCTCAAAGAACCCTTTGCATGATTAAAGGGTTCTTTGCATCATGAAACGGTTCTTCAGACTGATGGAGAATGTACTATATATGGTTTTATACAGAACCTTTTTGAAAATCTTTCTGTATAGCTCTAAAAAGGGTTCTTCTACTGTTACAACGTCAAGCTTATGACAACAGAATAACCCTTTTTGGTGCTATATAGAACCATTTACTTTCTTTACTATAGATACATTTAAGAACCATTTTTTAAAGTGTGTATAGAACTCATAGTTCTAAACAGAACCATTTTACTCTTTTTAAGTGTGTAGGTTTTTTTTTATAATATATTATTTCTGCACTTCTTCTCATTTCCTGTTGTTATTAATTCACTGAGTGAGTTCAGGACACTCCACTTCCCAGACCTCTGAACTTCTGCTTTGGAAGCCCAGGTTCTAAACAGCTTTAGCTCCATCAGTCAGCGGGCAAGTTTAGTGTTAGAGCTCATTGGGGCTCGGCTGAACTCGGAGAACTTCCATCCTCCGCCCCGTAGGAGAGCCATCGGGATTAGCACAGTTGTCGAACAGGCCGCAGCTATTTCTAGACCAGGCGATGACAGGAAAGGTTCTAACAGCAGAGTAACTTCGGAAAGTTCACCACCACAGTCACTCTGGAAGGCATGTGAAAACTCAATGCTTCCCCAAAAGGTCACAGCGTGGTCACAGCAACGTACAATCATCTCCACAGGTTAATAAGAGCGGGCATAGCTGTCAGAGGAAATCATACGATGTGAAATGGTTGCTTGTAGAGACTCAGATTTACAGTGGTGGTGATAGGAACCAGGGGTCGCCATGACTACAACACAAATACAGACATTTTATTTACTATTCAAAACCACCAGTGAACCTACACAGTCTTTTAAATGAGTTAAAATGGAATGTTGATGATGGTAAAATAGTGGAAAATCTGAAATAATAAGTTTAGGACTATTTTACCTCATAACACCCTGCGCATATATATATATATATGCTTGTGTGTAAAATATGTATGGATTTTAAGAAACGTTTTTGGTCAAAATCTCAAAACTATCATAAAACAATGTCTCAGTCATCAGGCAGTGTATTCACAACCATTTCATGTAATAATTTTCTGTGAGGGAGGTTTTACAGGTAGACGTCTGGTTCCTATCACCACCACTGTGAACAATTCTGACTCATATGAAATATATATAAAACCTCATATCTCTGTTTTTGTCGTTTTTCAGTTTTTGTCATAATTTGAAAATACCTGTTGCCCTTTATAGTAAATTTCATGAAGAATAGACCAAAACAAACGACCCAAAATGATTTGGAAAAAATTATGCTTCCATTGACTTGCAAAAAAAGTAATTTTGGAGATACGAGGTTTACATATATATAAAATTTGTAAAGACTTCAGTTCTTTAGTAAAAAAATTGGTTCTATATAGAATCATGAACATTCAAATTACCCTTTGCATGATTAAAGGGTTCTTCAGAATGTGTGGTAGATGGTGCTACATAGCACCAAAAAGGGTTCTGCTATTGTTACACCGTCGTGTACCAATACCAATAGAGTGTACCAATAAAAGAACACTTTTCAAGTTCTTTATAGAACCATTAACAGCACATTCTCCATCAATCTGAGGAACCATTTCACTATGCAAAGAACCATTTAATCATGGTTCTATAAAGAATCATTTTCTTCACTAAAGAAACCTTTAAGAACCATCTTTTTAAGAGTCCATTTTTTTGGCCTTTAAACAGACAGACAGACAGAATGGTAGAGACCAGCACATTTCCAGAACTTTCTATTCCCCACAGAGTGAATATCATCACACTTTAATACACCAAACTGGCATTTTAAATTCTTTAAATGAAAAATCACTTTCCCACTCAAGTAACTTTAGTGAAAGTGCTACATGTAGAAAGGCGACTGGTCATTCAGCAGAGTGAGTCGTGTACGACTACACTATGAAGTACTTGTGCAATCTTTCCTGCCTCACCTTTCACCTCATCAACCTACAACACAGATCAGACACAATGAAAACAGCACACTGTTCAACTGCTGATAACATGGGTAGAGCAGAAAATATGACGAATGTCATCAGCAGCTTCACTAAATTTGGTCACCAAACATGAATGTGTTTAGTTACTTCATCAGAACAAGTATGAAGAACAGAAGCTGATCAGAACTCAGGAACCTCCCTCTGACAGATGATCATTCTGACATGTGCCCAACATCTGACCTGAGCAGGTGTACTGAACGCACTGGGCTTGGTTTCAATTCATTGGTCTTCCATAACTTCAGTTTTTTTTTTTAAGAAAGGTAAATTTATATCATTAAAAATACCATTATATATATATATCACAGCTGTTGCAACAAAACCTTCCATCTCCAAAATGATAACTTTACAGGAAAAGGAAAAAACATACTTCACTTTCAATGTTTTTTCAAAGTAATTTTGGTCCATTCATCATGTAATTCACAATGTAAAGGGCACCAGGTCTGTTCAATTATGTACATATTATAGCATCAAATTATTATATCAAAAGTGTGGCTGCTGAGCTGCACAAAAACTCAACAGCTTTCTTATTTGCCAAGAGTTTTAAAACCATTGTAATGAAATTTCTGATTGCTTGGGACTGAGTGTGAACTAATGTCATGGACATTATTAGGAAGCACTACTTTGCACTGGTTAATATTATCTCTAACTCTGGATTTGACCGAGCTGTGGTTTAGGCTGTGGTCAGGCTATGTCTATTTATAATTTGAACTTGAAATTTTCCATTTATATTTAGCAGAATCACACATGCATTTAAACTAGTGACTAACTTGTGAAAAATTATCCAATCAGGATCGTTCTCTCTGTGGTATCTAGGTAGCTACAACTGAGTGAGCTCTCCCATTTGTTAGGACTTCAGCAGCTGCCCTGAAGGCCTTACATGTTTAGATTAACTACCAGCATAATTTTTCTCACTGCATCAGCCAATCAGGCCTTGTATACAACGAGAACAATGCTGTTTAAAAAAAAATAAATAAAAAAATAAGTCTCACTGAGCCTTCTGGGAAATACAAACACTGTGCATATGAGGGGATATATTAAACAAATATCTTTTTGTCAGTTACATATACAGGAAACCTACAGTGCTTACTTCATCAGAAATGTCCGCTCCTGTTGACGTTTCAGTTACTAAAAATGCGCAAGTCTGTAGAGTAAATTAGCCCTCATTTAAAGGGGAATACCAAGTTTTCAAAATTTCTGCAAAAAAACTTTTTTAAAAAGGTTTAAAAGTGGAGCACAACAAATAAATGTATAAAAGCAGAAGATGTGAGTGTATGATGACAAATGAAAGATTCCATTTAACACATTCCAATTAACAAAGCATGGCTTTATTCTGGATGGTACAAAGTCCTTTTGCAATATCTGTACATCGCTGATTCTCCAGAAGAGCTCCTGCCTATTTGGGCGCCTCCTTCTTTGCAATGGTCTTCAACCCCTTTTTGTTGTGTTTCTTGGCAAAGCGCATGTTCCTCAGGAACTTAGGATCAACCTGTTGGGGGGTGGGGGGGGTGGGGATTAGTAATTAAATACAAAATCACACAGATACAAATAATCTTGTTCACCTGTAATTATTACTTACTTGAATTATATAATAGTAAGTAATAATTATATGCAAGTAATATACAAAATTAGGTTAATTGTTAACGTGGCGTTTGCTACCGACCACCTACCGCAGCGGTATCCAATCTTACCCACAGAGAGCTGGTGTGGCTGCAGGTATTCACTCTAACACAGCTGTTGAAGACCTCAGACTAACTGATTAAACAAGTGGAATCAGGTGTGCTTCTGCTCGGAATGAAAACCTGCAGCTACTCCGAACTTTCGCGGATAAAACAGGACACGCCTGGGCCCCATCTCACAAAGTGGGATCTATGGCTTAAGCCTTGGGTACACTGTGTTTTTTTGAAGTCCTTACAGATTATAAAAGACTGAGCATCTCACATCACCTGGTTTTTGCAGATTTTCTAGGCAACTGAAATACTGAAAATCACACACTACTCAACTTTTAAGCAGCTGCTCAACCAAACTGAACTTTACGCAAACTTGTGTTCTCCTGTTACTGGGAGATGCAAATAAACATGCTGCTGTTTTCTCTGCTGTGTGCGAGACAAGGTAAAGAAGCAGCAGGTAAACATGTTTAAGTGAGGATCACGGATGTAAAGATGTGATCAGTCTGGTTGTTTTCAGAGTTTTAGATGTACATAAACTCAATTGTGCCTAAAACTCAGCTCATTAAAAAGCTTCGCGCCACACACGAGTGACAATGAAATGGGTGAGAATCGCTGCATGGTTTTGCCCTGACTAGTATAAACAATGGTAAAACATATCTACAGCATTTTACTCTGTGTTCTGAATAACTATACACACTGAAGGCTAAGTTATTGTATATAAACATAACACAAAAACTGGCAAGAAGTTCAGTGAGGTGCTGTTAAATTACAGTGACCAGAAAAGAGTAATGGACGAGTCTTTTTGAGACTATAATTACACGCGTTACTTTATCATCAACTTATTACAATGTTATTTTGACTTTACTACCATCTTCTGTAAGACGTTTGATCAGTGTGGAACTTTTATTGTAGGAGTCATTAATAAACAGCTGTTATGCTAAGCATCTCACCAGAACAAGGTACTAAAATAAAAAAAATTCACCACATTAAGCTATGATTGCAACCAGTTAGTGTTTTGCAGAACTTGCCTTAAAAAAGGCCCCTTGTTAAACCTGCGTGACAGGTGCTGGGATTATTAACCAACAATAAAGTCAAATAGTTCAATTACGACCAACCTACAACACAACAGGGTAGCCAAGCAGGCAACCAAACGTGCTTGCAAACATTTTTCTAAGCAATATTTCCATCTTCAGGGCTGTAGTTCACCTGCACAGTCTGTTTTACTTCACCTGATTCTTCACCTGCTGGACCTGCACTGTTAACTAATGTAGTCTTTCACAAGCTGAACCTTGAAAAGCAGGATTTCAGATAGCCAGATAACTTGAGCCCGAAGTCAAGTATGTCGAATAAACCTAGAGATCAAGTTATCTAATTTACTACTAACACAGAGGTGTTAGTTTGAGCAAAAAGTAACCAAACCGTGCAGGTGAACTACAGGACTGGAGCTGGAACACACAACTAAAGCCTCTAGACCAACATTAAAAAAATAGCACACAGGACAATGTTTAAACCGTTTGGGGACACTTCAGAAATAACTAACGCACATGCATAAAATTAACATAATACATCACCTTTAACACGGACATTTACATTTTTGCTGATTTTATTCTAAAGGCAAAGCTAAATGATAAGGAGATAAATGTTAATTGTCTACTAGCTATTCATAATGCAGGTTCTGAAGAGCAGCAACTTCAGTATTAATATACTATAATTACAACGTATTGGAGAAAACCTGAACACAGCGTTTGCAGCTTTGTTTTGCACTTTAAAACATTAAAAATTTAGTTATATTTAGGGAAATCTGTAGCACATAACTACCAATATTTATGTTAAATGTAATGTAAATAAAATATTTTGGATGAACATTTTTCACTTTTGGAAAGCTGACAATACTTTCTTACTTTCATAAGCCAAAATGTACACACAAACATGGTTCTTCAAGTGTTCTTTAGTAAATGCAATGGTTCTATTTAGAAACACAAATTCTATGTAGAACCACTGCACAGTTATGGATCTATATGGCACCATATGGTTTTTTTATTGTCACAATGTAAAGCATGTAACAGAAAAACCTTTTTGGTGCTGTACAGAACCATCTCACTGCTGTCAGAACAAACCTTGTATCTCCAAAATGCTAAATTTACATGAGATAGGAAACTCTCCTCTCCTTTTAATACAAGTCAATTTAACCAACTTTTTTCTGATTAATCTCAGGTAATTTCTTTTCATCCATTCATTATAAAATTTACACACAACGTAAAGGGCAACAGGCTTTTTCAAACCATGTCAAAAACCGAAAACGACAAAAGTGCCGGAAGGTTTCTACAGAACGATTCCTTTACTAAGAACCTTTAAATAATCATCCTTAATAAGAGTGTAATTTACTCACCCCCTTCAGAGACTCATAGCGCTGAGACCGAGGCTTCTTGATGCCATTTCTGTGCCACTTGCGGGCTGCAAGCATAAACAAAATAATCTCAGATCATTCTGAAAAGCTAAATCAGTAAAAGCTCACTTTAAAAAGCTCAATGATTTGCTTTCTGTTCACTGAACTGTACAGTAACACTTACACTGGTTGTGCGTGGTGTGGTTCTTAGACTTTGCCATTTTCAATCAGGGTGTCTGTTAATAACAAATATAGAGGTTATGAAAAAGGACACCGCTCAAACGTTCAGTCACATCAGCATCTGGGCTGAACAGTAACGCAACGCTCTCTTCTCTATCAATCTTACACGTTTGGCTTCATATTCTAGTTGCATTCCACCTCAAATGAAGCGCCAGAATGCAGCACTGTTTAAGGTGGAACGGACTATTCGAATAAGAAGCAAACTTGAGCCTTGTAAGTAACGATAATATACTACACAGGCCTCATATTTGCAACATATTCAGAGCAAAAATAAGCAAATAAACATCGGCTTTAATCTACATTCAGAGCCAAACCGGCTGTGGCTGCAGAACATATTCCCCAGCTCGATGCTAACCCTTCAAAAACGTACTCTTTTATGTAAAACACCACAATTGTATAACACAAAAGCTTAGCAAATGTTTTTATCCACCTCAGAAAAATAATA